TGGGGGGGGGGGGAAAGGGGGGGGGGGGAAACCCCTTTGGAAAAAATCCCCGGGCCATTTCCTTTTTGGGGGATTGGGGGGAAAAAAAAAAAAAAAGGGATTTTTCCGGGAGAAAGTTTTTGGGGGGTGAAAAAAAATTTTTTTTGGTGTTGGTGGGGCAAATTTTGGGGGGTGGTTTTATGGTTGTTTTTGTTTTTTTTTTAAAAAAATTTTGGTTTTTTAAACCCAATTTTTTTTTTTTTTCCATTTGATTTTAAAAGAAAAAAGGTTTTTTTCCCGGGCCCAAGGTTTGGGAAAATTTAAAAAAAAAAGAAAAGTCCCCAAACTAAAAAAATTAAAGGAAAAATTTAAATTTTTGGGGTTTTGGGGGGGTTGCCCCCCCCCCCCCCCCCCCTCTACAAGTGAGATAACGATGACAGTGGATGCGACAGCACCGGCCGGAGAAGCACAATACTGTAGTTCAGTCTTGGTGCCTACTGCCGGCGGCGTGGTGTTCCGCAGTCCGTGCCGGGTCCTTGCCGATCAGGCCGAGTTGGCAAACAATCTACAACAGCAGTCCTCTTGATACCACCTCTATTATTTGTCACTACATACTCTACAAACATCAGTGTTCCAGCAACACGTTGAGATTTATCATTTCGACAATGTCTTATTGACCAACTGGAGACACACGGCAGCAACAGGGCTTCGAAATACACACTTTGTTTCGAGAACTTTTTTTTTTTCATTTGGGCCGGCTGAGGGTAGGGGGGGTGCTGCGGGTCCAGGATTTTTTTTTTTCGTGTACCCTTGCTGCTGCTGCTGAAAGGAGTTTGCAGTCAAATATTAATCTTGCTGCCGGAACTGAGGTTCTTGGCACTGACAGCTTACGGCCAGCATTAGCGCAGCACTTAACATCCAGATGAAGGACCCTCTTAAGAACATAACTGTCAAGCTTCGGTGGGACCAAGGTCTGTCGGTTTTGCAAAATCCAAAACAAAAGCAAAACAAAACCTTGTATAAACGGAGATTAGCGAACCTCGTTGCGGCGGAATCGCAGCCGGGAGGGGGCCGTGGCCTCGAAATGGGGCAAAAGAGGCACAGCGACGCCTGTGCACCACGCGGAAGCAATATAAGGCAAAGCACCAGTAATTGGTACGCGTTGTCCAAGCCGCATACTCAGTATTATGGTCGTCCCTCTTCACATTCAGGTTCTTTCTCAACATTGCGCGGGTATTTCGTGGGAACAGGTGCCAATTCATGATGACGATCGCAGTCGCGCTACTGTAGAGTGTGCTTTTTCCTCTCCAAGGGCGCAGTCAGGTGGTTGGCTTTCGGCATAACGCGTGTAGGACGAGACGTTCGCTGCCCGAAAAAGCGGGAACAGGCTTCTGAGTGATGGCAAACCACCGTGCTCGGACTTTTTTTTAGGATTTCGAGAACACAGAATTGGAATTGCGTACGCCATTGGCACACTGACCGTGCATTCACTTCGCCATCGCCCGCCCGCTATTGGAGCATCGCTTCAGTTGTAAAGACGCTGTAGGTGTGTCAAACTGTCACGTTGGGTTCGGTGTGGCGGCTATTTCCAAGACTGTGTTTCCCGCTGTCCAATCGCACCGATCTCCCCCCCCCCTCCTAGTATTTTCGGGCCTCTATCTGGATATCAATCTTGCCGTTAATGCAGGCCCACTTCGTTCCCATAAGCGCCGCACCCCTCTCTGCCTTGTGCCCGTGTCTAACCCCCTCAGCTTCAATCATCCCTCCTGCACATCATCAGGCCCAGAAGAAGAAGATGCTGCCCGTCGGCGAATGTACTTTTGGGGGTGCATATTGTTGGTCGCAAGTGGCGTGTTCTTCGTCACTTCATTGTGAGTGCTTGCCCAGTCTACTACAGTTGCTTGTCGTCTGGACTGGTGTCCTTTAGTCTGGACGTTTGTTTCTTCCGCTGTGTGCACGTGGAAAAGTATCGTTTGTCAAGTATGTGCGACCCATCCCGATCCCTACCTCGGAACGGGAGACTGAAGCGGGTACAAGGCTAACGAGTTGGGACGTTGCCTTCGCATGTCAAAAATCGTTCTCACCTCCGTCGAGCACCTCTTTTTCTCTAGTCTTCAAGGCAAAGACGTAGTTTTCCGTGGCCATGAGCTATATTATATCGCTAAATATTCTGTATTGCGGACGGAGTTCCTACTGTAGACTAATTGAAATGCTCAAAGCAGAGACTTCTAAGGAATAGAGCCAACAGAAAAAACGAGTGGCAATCGTGTTTGCGTAAGGCTGATTGCAATGTACACAACCGTCAGTACACTACGTCGTGTTGCCACCCCTCTTTGCCCCGTTTCGCCTCCATTTTAGTGGTACTTGTTCCTGCTGTCCTGCGATCAATGGTGTGACACAGGTTTGAGGTGCTGCATCTCCGTGACTAGACTATATTTCTTGACGATAACGAGTGTTGCTGCTTCCGTGATACTCGAATATCCAGGTATGCGATTGTCTTCTCAAAGCTCATGCCACCGATGGGCCACCCACTGCTGGACTCCGTCCGAGAGGATTCCCACTACTGCTACCTCGTGCCGCTCACGATTTATCCATCTTGTGCGGCACTTTACATGAGCTGGGTCAGCCTCAAGTTCTTCCGACATAATTGATATCCTAACTATTATAACATGTTGAGAGTGCGGACAATAGAGGGAAGGGATGTATATACAGCAAGACCGTGAACTAGCGCCTCTTCGTTGTGTAAACGTTGGAGGACGACTTTCAGCTGCTTAGGGGTAATGTTCCTTGTAAAAATTGAAGTTGAGGTTGAAATTGAGTGAGTATTTGCCTTATGAGCGGTTATTGAAGGACAGATATGCATAGAAGAGCGCGATATTTTACGAACGAAGTTGAGCTGCCATCAGGGAGGACGAAGTGGATTCGCGCGTGCAGGAATAGTGATCATTTCGAAGATCTCTCCCAACAGAGCGAAACACCAGATCAAGCGATCTCCAACACTTCAAGCATCGTGGCGCTGTGCTCGCTGCCTGCTAAGTGTGGCAATCGCGTACAAGAGATTTAGGTGAATTGGAACTAAGGACCGCCGTGGTTGAAACGTGCCGCGTCACTTTGAGGCATCAAGTCGTCGTATAAGGGTAATCCTCGGAGGGTGCAAGCCTCTGGTTCGAAATAGAAACAAATGGAAACGCCTGAATTTTGGGGGTTCCATCGATGCAATTACAGCTTACAGCTTGAGAGTAGCATGGTGAGTTAGGATTCCCGCAAGCTCCCGAGGCGAAATGATTGAATGTGCATGCCAAAACCACTTGATTTGGGGCACTGTTGAGAGCCGCCATTCTTGAGGCAGGCCTTTGCAGCCCCCGTGCGGTGCGTAGCAAGCATCGATCCGTGTGTTGCTCTGGCGAGAGATTCTTGCCACCATCGAGTGCTTCAGCGCACCTCACCTTTCATTTCACACACTGGTGACGTGAGCAGTGCTCACGGCTCTCGCCATCCTTTTTTGGGCTGAGGCCGGTTTCAAGGCGGACCGAATTTAATCGCAAAGCCTTGTTTCGAAAACGGCGGGCACCCAGAACTTGTTGGATCAGCTGCCTTGCATCCTCGACGCAAGCATTCCGCAATCGGAGCTTGAACCGACCTCGAGGTCGCAACAATGCCTAAAGTTAAAACGCCGGTACCCCGAATACTCAAATTTCACGCGTTTCCGCGGTTTCTGGGAAGAGTCTGCATCCTCGCGGGGTGCCCTTAGGCGTTTCGCAAAATGTACCACCGCCGGTTAAGAGTCTGCGCGAAACGCGCGGCGTTCTGTGTACACTGTTACCTGTGCAAGGGTTGAGTGCGAGAGGCGTGGGCAAACGACCAGCCTTCGTAAACAACAGCGGAGAGGCGACAAGTTGCACAGGACTCCTTGTCAACAGGGTGGCATGGTTGGATACGACCCCCATACGCAATAATTTGTTTTGCGCTTACGGGTCTCATCGTGCTTCTTGATGTTCTTCAGGGCGCAAATCATGGCATTTCTCGGGAGGCGCCGCCGTGCCCCTCATGTGCAAGTTTATAGCGGCACGCTGACGTGCGTCATGAGGGCACCGTGATGCTTAATTGAACTGCCAATGTAACGACGATCGACAATCAATCACCATAAATGTTCTTGAAGAAGCAAACAATGCTTGTTGTCATGGAGCAACAGAACGTTGGGAGACGTGACATGAGTAAGGAAAAGTGTGTGCGACTGGTGTTGTTCGCTGTCCGTACAACACACCACAGCAGTTATAGGACGCATGTTTGTCAAGAGTTCCGGAGGTTCCAACCAAATGATAGGGCGTGCAGGGGGTGGAGCATTACCAAATTGAACTTGTGCAGCCACGCATCGCTGTTTAGACAATGCCTGGCTCTGTTCGATGGGCAAATGGTCTGCTCATTTAAAGTTACACAACCCTCTACCGTCAGCGTCCAACCTCCACCTCAACGCTTGGTGGGAGATGCAAATTCGTCTGTGTGGCAAGCCACCATTTCCGGCAGAGAAAGTACTCGAAGAGCGTCTTGTCTAGCTTGCGCCCCTAAGCGATTTCTCATAGCAGTGTCCGTCGCTAAGAGCTCGAGGGCGTCTGCCAGCGCCTTTGGTGTGGCTTCCGCGACCAGCATGCCGTTCTCCATATGGCTTACCAGCTCGCCGCTGCCTCCAAAGCCGAACGTGACTACCGGCACACCGAGAAGCATCGCCTCGGGTACCACCATCCCGAATGTCTCTGAACAAGTTGAGGGCAACACGAGAGCCGTCGCCCGTTGAACTTCGCAAGGAACGGCGTCGACCGAAAGGAACCCCTTAAACATAACGTTTGCGTCGAGGTCCAATGCGAGCCTTTCCATGTGATTTTGAAGCGGGCCGTTTCCTACCACGACTCCTTCTGGCTGACTTCTCCGTCGTGGCCCTTCCATCCATCTCTTCCGAAGAACCGCCATGGCACGCAGGAACATCCCAGGCGTCTTCTCGCTCGACACTCGCCCGACCAAGATAAACCTTGCGGGCGGAAGATTGCTAGAGCAAGCTGCATATGTTGCACCCTCACTCATCGCACCGTATTCGCGGAGCTCTCTCGCCTGCCCGCGGGCGTCTGGTGTCTGTGCGCCAGCAGTGCGACACGCTTGAGCAGCATCAAGAAGCCGGGCGGCATCCATCACTGGATGGCAGACCTTGACCGGCAGCCCCCCAGTGTGCCGGTGGACCGCCGGATTGTGTGCGACGAATTGCGATGGCCCGATGAGAGCGGTCGCTCCAGAGAAAAACGGCGACATATAACCGCCGGCAAGAGCGCCCAGGTTAACCACCCGGCCGCCAACCCCAGCTAGCCTTGCGACGTGAAGGAGGTACGCATCGGCGTCCTTCGCCCCGTTGGAAATGACGAGCACGTCAAATTTGGTCAGGTGCCGATGGAGGTCACCTAGCGCTCGTGCGATGTCTGGCAGGACTGAGGTAACGCCACTCCATGTTGCGGCGCCCACGAGCATGGAGTAGAGTAGATTGCCTACGGTCACGCTTTGCCTGTTAGCCTCGTCCCACGTCTGCGGTCGGTATTTGGCGGGGTATCGGCGTATAAGGCTCACAAGGGAGAACGAGGGAGGCGAATACCGTAGTTGCGTAAAATGTCACACCCCCTGCGCCACATTCAAATCTCGCTTATTCTGCGGTCAAAACAGCGGTGACTGTTTCGAAATGACGTCGAGAGCCTGCCCAAGTTGCACCTCGGATTTTGGCATCCTCTTCGTCGTAAAGTGGTCGAGCTTTTATGATTATTCCAGGGGGCATGATATCTTGTGCAGTTTACGGTACGTAACAGCACATATCTCAAGGTTGCTGAAGACTTTAAATATATTTACCTTTCCAAGGCGAGCGAGTCTCTCCAATTTTGAGCGTAGTCAACAGCATACCGAGTACAGCCAAAGAACATCAGGACGATTCGCCCGAATATAACGTTGAGTTGTATAGCATTGAGTTTGAAACGTGCAAACCACATCAGGCACTTCTTTGCAACGGGTTCCTTACCTCGCTTGGTAGCTCGATGCACAGGCGGAATACTTCGAGGGCTTGTTGATCGAGCATGTTCTTCAGAGGCGTGTCACCCGCTTCTCCAACATTCAACAAAGGCATCAACGAGGGTCGGAAGGTGCGAACGATTTTCAAAGCGTCACCAACTTCGTTGAAGAAATAGATACTCAGTCTTCTCCATGGAGCTGTGTCTAAATGAAGGGATAGACTGAACCCTCCAAACGATGCCGGTTATTGCACAGCATTCGTTCTTAGTTTGAACTCCTATTTTAAGAACATTGGGAACTACTGACAAGAACTTGGCGGACATTGGCGAGGCAAGCTCAAACAAATCACAAAACTCTTTTTCACCTTGCGATGGTCGATTCTGGTGCAGGCTGAACCTAAAACACATTATGTACAGCATCGCCCCAGGGCGACTCCTTCTGTGTGTCATTTTGGCCGTGACATCTACTTCTCGCGACTCATTGCACGTAGGCCAGTGGTGTCATAGACCTACTCCGCCTGTTCCCATGCCAGCCGTAAGCTGGCTGGTTTCGAAACCGTCGAAACTAGCCTCGTTCCTCTATCAAACTCGATCGATTGACCCCCATTTCACCCCCGCGAGAAAGCAACCAGATTCACACTGTCGGTTGCCGCTGGTGCACGGGGTGGCATATCATCCTGTCATACCTATGGAAAGTACCGGTTTCTAGGTCTACAACGACTTGGAGAGCTGTACTATGCTTGCCCTCGTCATTTCTGCTCCTGGTGGTTAGTGCGTTTGATATGTTCGTCATCGTTGGCGAGCACGCCACATTGGCTACTACGTATGCTTGTACATTTCATGATCCACTTGCTAATTGTAGACCTCTTCAGACTTTGCAATCATTATTGGCTATGCGGCAACGGCGTACCACCTTACATGCATTGACTCTTACATGTGCAAGACACGTCCAGGGCGGATGCTCGGAAATTGCGAGGAAGATGCTTCATCAGGTTCAGCGTGCTGAGGTTGTAGCCGTCCACCGATTCGAGACCGACAAGAAAAACGACGCGCGTATTCCCAGTGTCGCCCTTGTACGACTCCACACCATAGGGTATCTTGCCGGACGGAATTGTTCCGCTTGACGACCTTCGCTGGATTATCTGTGTTTCTGTGGAGAAAATCTCGAGAATCAACACCGTCTCAGCGAGGCAATATCCTGGAACAATGGGTCCACCGCCACCACGAATTTCCTCCTCAGGATCGAGCAGACAAACCTCAAACACGATCGTGCCTTCAACGCTCACAAGAGATATTCCGAATCCTTGGGTACTCGCTGTCTCCAACGAAGACGTCGCCACAACTCCGTCCACAGTGATTTTGACGCGAAGCTTGCTCGCAACATCACCATCGACTCCATCGAGCCGGTCGCCGGCCACAGAGCTGCTTGCCCCTTCACCGTGCCTCAATCCCTCTGCTGGCGAAATACGAACGTTGATTCTACTACAGGCTGCACTGATGACGGAGCCATCCTGTCGCGATGAAAGTTGAAACCCCATACTGTTGGATGCTGTCGACGTCGCGTTCCAACTTTCCGCCTCCTTTGGTGACGTACGTTCTACACGTCGGGACTCTTCGAGATCAAAAACCAAGGACGTGGTTTGCCCCGCAGACGTACACATGACGTTGGCTCCACCGCCAACAGATGGCAGGATACGACCCTCGTCCATGATGCGTCCCCACCATTCCGCGCTGTCAAAGGCAGTATGTACTGCGTCAGTCAACGAAGCTTGGGCCATGTCGCCCGAAGCTCCCATCCTGACGACGGAGTTCCCGTCTTTGTCGTGGACCATCGTGCACCGCTCATCACTGACGTGAGACCATATGAAGATGCCCGCTCGGCCGTGCCCGGCCTGAAGACGATAGGGTCCGTTGCATGCAGCGATAGCTTTTGGAAGCGTCGACACCGCCACCGCCGTGCAAGCTACCCCCGGTGTGATCGAACAGCACCACGTGAGAATGGGACGTATGGAGGGAAAGGTGCAGTACAGGGCACCGGCACAGGACACAAGAAAATCGACCAAGGTTAGATTGTTGTCCCGTTCTGTATTGTCGATACTTATTTCAAACATGTTTACACTCCAAGTACACAGGAGAACTCAGGGAACGGCGACAGTGCTTTTTACCCGAACCCTGTGACGGTGTGAGACTGGCTCTTCTGGTACCCCTACCACTGGATCTCTAGAATTTACACTAGAGTATGCTACCAACACCCCGTTGCTATCGGTGCTACGGATCAGAACAGGCGCCAAGAAAAACGTGATAGCACCTCCTGTACTCGCAGATTGCTTGAACGCGCAGGGTACGATGGTGCTTCAGAACGACTGGGATAGGTTTTGCGTTGCAATGTGGATATTTCCTTGTAAACAAGTTTAGTCAATCTCCACAGTGGGAGGCGAGTGTTTGTGCTCTCCCCATATATTCTGGCACCAGTCGATATATTTTTCCGTGTATCTGTTTCACGTATTGACCGGGGTCACACAGGAGGAAGTTCTTTTTAAGAGTATTTTGTTTTAATGGCCGATCTTTCCTCTTGTGGCGCTTGCTTGTTTTTGCCGCGAGAACGGTTCAGCCGGTCTTTCTCCTCGTCGACCGTGTGAGTCGAATTGTATGTACTGTATGCATAGCTCTCTGACATATTTGTTTCACTCCAGAGAGAGAATCGCATAGCGACTAGGTTTTACGAGACGTGCACCACTATGGTAGAAGACAACGTGGTTAACAACTGTGCGGGGAAAAACACTATTATTGCGTTTACCTCTTGTTGTGTGACGCCGGGTGGTGCGTCAACTATATATGTATACCGAAGGTGTAGACTCGTGCCCGGAACTGAAAGGACCATGAAACACACACATTCGTGCACATGACAATTACGAATATTACACGCATGATAACTTAATTAAACACACACGCAACATCTCCCCGACGTCTGTCGACGATGATTCCCGCTTATTATATAGTCTACATTCTGCACATGTAACTTGCCTGGACAGGAGATGGAGACAACGCCGCTGACTCCCTCGAATGAAGTGGAAGAAGTATTGAAAATATGCCACCGGGAGCTTTGTGGTGGGGGCATCTCTGATTCGGCCCGCACAAATGCGTGAATCGAACCAGGAGCCCAGATAGTCCACACGGCTTCGACGGGGTGGTATGACAGCGCCAGATGTTGCGTGTGGGGGACCGCTCCGATCCAGGTCGGTCTACCGTGTGAGGTATCGAGGCCATCACGCAATACATAATCACTGTCCAAAGCACCGAGGCCATCGACTGTGATTATTCCACACGCTGCGCCGAGCTGGACAGACGGGAAAAGTGGTATGGCGGCATGGTCCATTGGAATCTTGACTTGATATATTGGCTTGTGAGCAGGGCCGGCGACGACCCCAGTAGTCACCAGCCAAAGGTGTGCAGGCAGCAGCAGAAGTTTTTTGTCTCCCCACCAACTCCTACCACACACAGCTTGAAGAATCATGACTAAGGCTTCTTCACACGGTGTGGGGGAGCCCAATCGATGGGATGGTGTGTGTGTAGCAGACCCATGAGGGATCGGGGCGACCTCGCGCGTATCCTCGTATCGCACGTGCGTTGCGGTTCCCACCTCCCTCCGGGAGTCTTTCTGGTTCTGGTCTCGATGCTCGACGTGCGGCAGCTGCACGTCTAGGTGTGCATGTCTCAAACACGACACGAGTGCACCGTGAGCGGCTTTTATCAGCAGAAAAAGACTGTGGATCTCTCTTTGGATCTTTCTCTATGAACAAAGGCGGGTAACAACAAGGCAGAACCACCGGGGGTTCCGTAAATCACTTCCAATTCCGTACCCACCGCGGCGAACCCACTACAAGAACTGGTTCTGGCGCCTCTGTCTGCGGTAAAATGAGATATGGGGAGATGGGAGACGGGAGCAATGACATTATTTGACATTACTACATATGGACGTGTCCATGGACGTCCACGGACGTCCATGGACACCGGAAAGACGCCCGTGGACGTTGTCTGTGAACGCCTGTGGACACGTCCAGTGGACTTCCACGGACGCGTCCACCCACATCCGTGGACGGTCCACGGAAACGTCCATGGACGTCCACGGACGTCCACCGACTAAATGCTGTATTGCAATCTCCAGCAGACATTCACACCAGCTGATTCACACCCGTCGATTTTTTTTTTTTTTTCTCCCATCATTGGACTCTGTCGTCTGCCCCTCTGGCCCCCATCCTCCCACTTCTGCTAGCTAGACATATACAACTGACTGTTCTCCACAGCAACTTGTAGAGAGCTGGAGTCTACTCGTGTTGCACTGTCGCCCGGATGCGAAAGCGGTATTATGATATCGGGCGTAGGGACTTATACGGCCTGTATGCGTATGCATATGCATACGCCACCGCTCTTTTCGTGCTGATCGCGGCACTGGCTACCGGCCAACAGCAGCCTCCGAACGTATCCAAAAGTGTCTTTGTCGGGGGCGCGCAGAACCAGGATCCGTTGGCGGTACTGACATCGATTCCTCCTCCTTCTGGGAAGGAAGCCCCACGCGCGTCTGCCTTGGATTTGAAGATATTTGCTGAGGATCCAGACTGGGCCGCCAAGGTGCGTCGCCTTCATATTGGTTGTTGTCGTTGTCTCCGATCTCTCTGACCTGTATGTACCTTGATCTGCCCGCTGATCTACAGGTACATGTACCAGTGTTAGTACAATAGGTTACTGTAGGATAGACTTACATATGTACAGAGCTGTAGGTCGAAGTTGTCGTTGAGAGTGTAGTGTTGTCTTGGCGTTGTAGATATCCCGATGAATCCCTCTTAAGCTTGTTCAGCGCTCTTCGATCGATTATTATAAGAGTGCGGCAATGCATTGATCGGTCTCAATTTCCGTCCCATCTACAACACACGCATCCTATGTTCTGGGCTACAGAGGTCCACACCTACCTTCGGCGTTTGACGCACCAGCAGGGGTCATGTAGCACGAAGATATAGTCTACATCGGAGTTCATTTCTGTAGACGTGCTTCGTACGTCGTACTTACAGTTTTTCTCCACCTTTCTTTCCTCCGGCCGTGTTGCCTTCAATTTTAACGCAAAGAGTGTGACCAGTAGTACGTCGTGTTTCCTCATGACAAGCCTGAGCTGCGATGTTTTTACTCCAGAGAGATTCGAACCTACATCTTGGAGGCTACGGGGTTACCAACGGAACCATCCAGGCGATCGGATCAAGCAGACAAGAGTTTCAAATCCAGTTCAAAGGCGAAAAACACGGGTCGGCGTGCGTGCATGGTAGTTGAATGCCAATCTGAGGACAACGTACATATTGACATTCTAATGAAGTGCAACATTCTTTTTCTTATCACGCCGTAGGTGGAAGACTTCATGGTCGGGGAGGGAGAGGACCAGCACGGTATCGAGAGCGCCTTGGATCAAGTGCGCCATGTGTCCTGGGCCGCAGGCCGAACATTGCGACGTAAACTTGTTGTGCTACTTGCTTTCGCACAGGTGAAGAAATATCTCTGCTGTTCATTTCAAATAGACCGAACGGAACATAGCCGTCTTCGCACAACGAAAACAACGGAGATTTTCGATTTAATGCGTGCTTCGTCCGTGGGGTCCACCGATCATATGCACCAATCTCACCCCTGACGTGTGAGGGTGGAATCCACCACGGTTCGAGTTCATCCAACGTATTCTGGACGTTGGTCTGAACGCACCAGCCGGGGTCACACAGGAGGAAGGCCATGCTAACATTTAATTATCCATGGAACGTGCCTTGATTTTGATGGTGAGAAGGATTCAGCCGTTCCTTTCCCTCGCCGACTATGAAGTCGAATCTTTGCGTACACACGAGATTATTGCTTTCAGTTTGTTCGGGTATGTTGTGAGAAAACTCCCTGTTCACGTGACTGCAACGAGAATAGAACCCCCGTCCAGCCGTCAGGTCGTTGCGAGGTTACCTACTGAACCGCCAGCGACGTAGGATCGTTATTCGCACAGGATGCACACACTCTGACATCTCTTCGTCGACGCCATTGTGGAAAAGAGGGAATCGTCCTCGACAGACGTTAGGGAGATTGTACCTTTATGAAGGTGGTCTCCACATGCACAACCGTAGAGAGGGCCTCCTCGAATGATTGCGCTTCCCGGCGGGTGCTCTTCATCCGCTGTTCACCAACTAGGCAGCCACCCCGTTACACTCAGCCTTATGAACGGTCACTGAACCCTCCCGGTAAACCGTTTTCTGATGTCTCCCCAACCCTGAGTATGACAAGCTCTGCGCAGTATTTTGGACCGGGACTATTCAAATGGCATGTCTGTCTCTGAACGCTGGTACTCAAACAGGATGCGCGATCCGACAGGCTGGCTAAAGCGGTTTTGGCAGCGTCGAGGCATACCACCAATGCAGACCTTGTGCTCGTCGCTGATGGGTTCGAACTGGACATGGCGACAAGAGAAACGGTGGTGAGTTTTGCTTCGATGCACGCGTATCCTTGTACGTTGCGAAGATTGTTTTAGCCGTGCAGCACCGTGAAAGTCTTCAAAGTCGTTCAAAGTATTCCACAGGCTCCCGTATAAATCTAGCCCAGCTCCGCAATTGTCCACCACCATCGTGATGGACATGCGCCTCGAGAGCATTATCATGATTTTGGTAACGGACAGTGTGTAGCAAGTTGGAGGTGGACCATCGGTATTGCTGAAAATGCGTGACTCACCGCAACACAGCTTATATTTGGTTGCACACGCCTCGCGTGCGCGCATATTTTACGATGTTGTTGCAACCAAAACCTGTCGCGCGCATACTAAAGAGGGGCGTGCTTGCCAATGGAGGATGGAAAAGTTTCACTGCGATCGAGGTGACAGAATTCGAAGGCTTTTCTTCTGGTGAGAGCACGGGCGCCCGGATAGCAGTATCGTTAGCAAAGGGCGTTTTTCAGCCTGGTTTTTGAACAGGCTCCTGTCCGAGGATAAGTTTCTCCTTGGAAAATTTCAAGATCGGAGTATGGTAAAGCAGCTGACCGTGCTCTCCACCCAAGCTTACGTCCCGTCAAGCGCTGGTGTACGCTCTTTACCATCCAGCGAGCGTTCATGCACCCGTTTCGGCTTCCGACGTTGATATGGTGCTGCCGTTTCCGTCGGACATTCACACACAGCCATCAACCGAGCCATGAAGACCGCATCTGGGAACTCAGTGGTGGCCGTGTTGCCCACGTCATTCCTGTTGCTCCCCACCACCGCCAACGGGCCCTCCGCTCCACCGACCTTGAACCGGAAAAACAATCGTGGAAGCGTCAACAACGATATCGGTGGCGGGGGGATAGCAAGCGACATTTTTGTTGCCTATGAACGACTCCGGGCAACCACACTCCCCCCACGGAAGGGATTGAACTCGACGATTTCCGGTACTCCGTCGCCTCGGGGAGATACAGGAGAGTCCGATATTCGCGTTGACGGCAGGGAAAAATGTGCCGACACGGAGGGGGGGCGGTATGACGAGTATGGTCGGGTCCACCACCACAGCAACATCGGAGACAAGGGCAAAGGCTTGCTTGTCACTGCATCACTCTCACGGGAAAGGCAAAGGCTAGATGATCAGGACGTCCCAACCGCATTAGATGAAGACGGTCCCAGAAGGGTACCTGCAGTAGAGGAAGAGGCGAAACATGCACAGGACTGGAGCGAGGAAGTCAACGACTCAGGGCGGGCATACTCAACAGCGGGTTCGTTGCGGGCACCGTCACCACCACGGCAACCACCGGGTATGAGGCTGAGCGACGTGGCGCCCTTGCCTCTTCTCGTGTTCGATACCGAAACCTTCTTGGCCCTCGGGGAGCTCGACGAACGTTTTGCCTTTCAGGGCGGTGTCGCCGAGTGGATCAATAGAGCGAAACTGGGGAGCACCCACGGCGGTACCAGAAAAAATGCTCTGAGCGATGACTACGGTGGCCAAACTTCTTGCCGGCGACACCACAGGTCAAGTGCCAGGACGCATGCAACAAAGGGTGGTGGAGGCTCTACTGGATGCTCCAGTTCTGACGGCGCTGTGCAACATGTGCACGATTATGATTGGGGCATACAGTATGTCGTGTCTTGGCCTGAGGATGATATGGGTTTTGACGAAGCTAAGCAACCAAGAGGTTCCACCGACCAGTTCTTGAAAGATGCAGGCCATGCCAGGGGGGATCCACTTAGCAATGGTGTGCAACGGGTTGGAGTTGAGAAAAATACTCTTCAGCGTCAAGGTGGTGGCGAGGACGAATTTCGCAGGCGGGATGGCTTTGAAGATCCGCACGCAACCGGCGAGGTCGTAATTGACCAATGGCATGGATTACCTCCCGCGAAACTGGAGGACTTGGTTCAATCCGATGCCGACTTGTTTTTCTTGCCACTGCTGCTGTGGGAGCCATCTTCAGGTAGGGTGACAACACTTGTGTGTTGCAAGCAGATTTTCTGAGACGATAGCGTGCACTGCTATCTCCATTTATTCGCCAGAGAATCCCGGGAAGCAAAATTTGAGCCCGAAGCGTATTATAGTTGGTCAAAAGCTCCATACTGACTGCAGTTTTGCAGATTGTAGTCCGCATACTTACGGGAAGAATGAATGAACCACGCAGATGAATGAACAATCGTACGGCGGAAGATGTTGTTGCTGTTGTGTTGTCATCGTCTTTAGATTGAAATGGTGCCCTGTACAAGAGCTCATCGTGCTCACCGCTGTGTTTGAAAGCGGAACTATTTTTATTGCATCATGGCTTTCCCAACGCTCTGGGATCTGGCGTCACAGATGTAGGAGGCCAACTGCTCATACTGCCGCTAGCATATGTACTTGTAGACACAAGACCCAAAGGTGGCGGGCTCGTGTCCCAATCTTGGTCCTTGTAGGCGATGGAAACTCGACTAAGACTAAGAATATGATAGATATGACAAAAGGCCAGCAAACATCAGGTACACAACCATGCAGATGACACCAGACGCCGTAGCGGTGACACGAAGTCGACTAAAGGGGGGGCGGCCAGCAAATATAACCTATTCGTTTCGATTGGGCTCCTGCAAACGGTACGCGGATGACTGAATATACTGCCAACGATATATGCTGAATCTGTGCTTCCAAGAGGCGGTACCCAACGGCGAAAAGGACCCCAAGGAACTCTGCCTTTCTTTCCACTCGGAGTGGATGGGGAGATCTCCGAACGAACGTCTGGCGCGCGAGGCTCTGGACAGACGGAAACGATTCCCCGTGGCGGTGGTCGTCGTCGTGCACGACGACATTTCCCTGATGCGCGCCGTTCTGGAAGAGGTTGCGGCAGTGGTGGAGCACATCGTGAGTACAAACCTTGTGTGCGGCGTACGTGGGAAATTTGTGAGGTTGTTGAGGAGCCTCGGAGGAGGAACGTCATCGACAAGATACCAACTGTCTCGCGTCACGAACATATAGCCATGATTGCACTCAGTTGCTATCACGTTGATGTCGAAGTTCTCATACTTCCCAGGCTCTGCAATAGGGACAAAGCCAGCAAAGGCATCCTACTACGTGTAAACAAGTCCTTGCACGTGCTTCTGTCGGCAGAGGTAATCATTCTTTCATGGTCGCAGTGTAGCTGTTTTTTACCAAGCGCTTCAGTTGATTGTTTTAGCAGTCATACCCCTCTAGCTTTGAATGTTGCATAAGCTATTTGTTTCTCTCTTATGTTTCACCGCTCCATTGTCCTGTACCACACACACATTTCATTTCCCGCCACACATCCCCACAGCTAGTCGTCGTGAGCGTGAGGCCATGGCACGGGTCTGCCACGGACGTTTCTCCTACCTTGAGAATGCTGGAATGCATGCTTCAGGATGCCGACTCTCCCACTCGCGGCAAGGTAGGCGACCATATGAGTTTGTTGTACACACACGGTTGTTGGTACACACAGTGACCTCAACTGTTTCGAAGGACAAGTGGCTGCTGCGTAAGGCTTCTTCATGATAGTGGCTCTCCCATTACATCCTCTGCAACATCATCCCCCCTCCCTCAAACCAAAACATGACCTTGGAAGCTATAGAAGGGTTGGAAAATCTCCTGGAGTTATATTTTCTCGCGTCAGAAACTGTCCGCCCCTCGGGGGCACAGCGCGCAAGAAGCCACGGTATTTTTCTTCTGTAGTTGAGAAATGTGTTGGTGGTCATTGTTATTTCCAGTTCCACAATAACGAAGTAGACACACAAATTAGTCGAGCTTTGTAGGTAACGAAGGAACGAGGGGGATTCCATGGTCTCCTGATAAACTGCGAAGACTACGGCCGCACCACAATTCCCGATCGGCTGATTGCCAGCGCAGATGAGGCAGCTAAAGTCCAACACGGCTACCTTTCGGCGGTTTTCAAACGAGGCGCGGGCCCAGTAATGCGGCGGGGCGTATTTTACATTTCGTTGCTGTCGGAAGAGGTGCCATCGTAGTTAGCAGCTGCAAGCGTTCCCAAGCATGGGGATAGCCCCTGGTTTTATTGTTTTCTTTCTCGTCGATGCTTTATTGTCCCAATATCGTGGCCGGTGTGTGTTTGTGAATGATTCTAAACTAAGCATGCACCGCGTTGACCGACTGACCAATGGAAACAATTCAGTCTAAAGTCGGGACAGTAACGCGCGAACACGTTTTGTGTGTGTTCTTGTTTCTGCAACAACCCCGAGACTTTCAGTCCGCGAGACGTTCTCTTCCGAAGAGTTCCCCGTTATGCATGTCTCTTGATCATCCCGAGGGCGAACGTTTATTGCGAGCGTTGTCGATCTCGTCCGGGGAATGTTTCAGAGGATACTACGTTAGTGTCCCGTCTGCAGTCATGCCGACAATATGTCAGTCACTTCTATTGCTAAAGGCATCAACGTATGTCGCAGTTGTGACATTCTCCAGCCTTGTTTTGTGCTTGACGTTGGTAGCTTCGGGTCGAGGTCGGATCCTGGGCCACAGAACGCGAGCAACGAGAGTACGGAAATGCTATAATCAAGGAAGATATCAGGTGAGAGCACAGCTTCGAGCATCCCGTTTTAATGTTATCGTTCCTGTGGTGTCGTTGTGCCCCGATGCTGCTGGGATCCTTCGCACACGAAGCGCCGCCATTGGACAGTTTTTATCCCTTCATCCGTGGTATTTCACGGTGTAGTGTTCGTCGAAGCTTGGCCAGTCAATATCCTCCTTGGAGTGATCACACAATCCTCCGCGTGGCGTACAAGTTCAAGTTACACGCAATGCCCACCTCATTTCCCATGTTTCTTCGTTTTTGCTACCTCGGTCGTTCTTTATCCCGATCAGGAACTTCTCCAGGGTTGTAGTCCTGGACACGGACGAGTTCTGGCATCCTGTGGAACTTGCAAAGTGAGATAGAGGGTCGCGTGCTTGAGTTGAAGGCCTGGCAGACACCTGCCACAGCTTTTCCAGCCTCCTCGTGGCGAGAACATGTCCTTTGTGTCAGAAACATGCTGCAAGTGAATCATGATTACTCCGTGTGTGTAATTGGAGTTATATTTCGTGCTCGAAGTTTTGATACCCCTCACCTCGAATAATCACTTTGTACCATCGAGAATTCCTGGCACAGTTGCTAACACGATGTCCACCATTGTCTCAACCCTCTGTGAACTGCCCGAACTGATCACGATGTCGATTCCACGGGTTTTATCGCATGGCCAGGGCTCTAGCGCTAGCCGCGCAACAGCACAAAGCGGTGCTCGCTCAAGCGGAAATGGACACGTATTGGGCGAGCGTGAGGTCGGTGGTATCTCCGCCGGAGAAGCTGCAAGCTCTTTGGCTGGTTGACCCTCGCCGTTGTGTGTGGTGAGAGAGGATGCTACGTCAGGAAGCGAATCAAAAGTCTCGCATTTCTTGAACAGTATTCAGACCTGTACATCTCTTTGGAGTATCCCCACGTTTTTATGGTCGTGCGCTTCTGGGATTATTGTGCTCGACATGTCTGGGGAAGAATGGCAATGGACGGAAACTACGGAATGGTTGATTGGTAACCCCCTGCCACTCTTACATTAGCGTATCACCAAGTCAAGCCGTGCGGTCTATGTGAGGCGTGTATAACGTCCCCGCTGATCATGGCTCTACGCAGAACATTTCCCCACGTATAATCTTTTTGAGACTCCTAGATTCCGTAGAATACTCATTACTTTGGCCGTGTGCTGCTCGCTTTCTACGGCGGCCAAGAACAAGTCGGCTCGTTTACCTGGTGTTTCTTGAGGGTTGTGTTATTTGAGCGAAACCAAGGTGATTTAAGGTAGGAATTTGCTCGCCTTACTCTTGCGCAACACAGTTCACTTTGTCGGGCGGGGTCCCAGAACTTCTAGACTTCGACTACAGGTAATGCATAAGCCGTGTGGGCACTGCATCACAAGGCATCGCTGATCACACGCAGTCCACCAACCAACAATCCGTCGGGAAAAATGCTCTCCCCCGTTGAAACGAGAAACTGACATATCATAATACATCGGCCGCTTTGGTGCCATGGTCTTGGAGGTCAGAGACCATTGTTCGGCCATTTGCGTTTCAACTAAAAGGCTACTCCTTCATTGTTGTCTTTCTCTGGGGATGCTCGATCTATTGGCCGAATACTGCCGGCTTCCTTGCCGCTTCGTTGTTTTAAATACCGACCGTTTCCAACTCAGGACCCAATATCGAGAGGTTATTTGTGACATCGAGTTGGGGGAAGAGCACCACACCGCTTTGCGCCTACAGAGAGACGATGCGGTGCTTCATCACTTGAGCTACGTTAGGGTGGAAGAAGACATACGACGAAAAATGGCAACATTTTCGCACGCCGGAGAGGAACAGGTATGCAGCGGTGCGGACCTTATCATGCAGTAATTCCTGTTCTGGGGTAGGTTTACTGTAGCAATCTTGTTTCTCCGCACCTATTGCCTGGCAGCATGCTTTCCCACCGTTACAGAGCCCCACGCCTCGAAAATGAAAACCCTTGGTTTCCGAGCGGTTTTAATCGTTTAGGGCAGGGTGTACCCGATGGAGAAACAGTTTCGAGAGCGCATCCCCAACGTGTAACCAGAGTGCCGTATGTGCCAAAGAAATAGAAGAACAGAAACAGAGCGAAATGCACGGTGAGGGGCAGCGCTCAACCCGAGGGCGTGACATCGGCCCGTAAAACATTGGTGGCGCCGCTCTGGATATTGTTATGACCGGCAACTGACTTTTTCTGTCGCCAGCAGAGTTTGTTAGGCCGTGTGCCTCGTCGAGTAAGGTCAAATGTTCACGCGAACGCCGTCTCGATACACACTCAACAACTGAGTCCTTTGCACGGCTTTCACGCGTTCCCCACCCTCCTTGCGTACATTCACGGCACCCAATCGTGTGTTCTCCACGCGTGTGGTAACCAGAGTGGATGGTACGAGAGAAGCTGGCTTGGCTGGGCGGCCAACAACTCACTGACAGATCTCCATCCTGTGATTCCTGTGGCTTATAAGCGGGTCGTGCCACAGCCCTTGTTTCGACTTACTCCGGCCCTGCGCGCCCTCCACCTGGACGCGAAGAAGGGCAGAGAAAGTATCGGTACCTTCAACGCTCCGGACGAGCGCTGCACTACGCCTTCGCCAGATGGGGCAGCTGCGGTGGCGGGTAGCGCCAACCCCGCCAGCGTGTCGAGGGTCCGGGGAGGCGTTCATCGGGCCGAGAACGAGCTTCTGGATGGATTTTTGGACGGGACGGTAGATCGCTTCGAAGATAGTATTAAAGGAAAAGCCTACTCGGAGTCGGGTAGGCAGCCTAGCATCAGCGCTGGTGAGGGCGCAGATCACAACATCAATGGTGGAAACGGCCGTGAGGATGATAGCAGTAGGAAAGGATTTCGCCAAGGTGTACGGGGATGCGAGACAACAGTGTTCGAGGAGTGGACCGAACGGCAGCGTACGATGTGCCTTATCCCTAACACCGGGAGGATGGTATCTCAATAAGGCCACACACCAGAGGGCTACCATGTATGCGAAACTCACATTTGTGTTCGGGGACGACATCTGATGCTGCCCCACGTGTCGTACTTTGGCTGGAGTAGTGGTAGACATACCAAGGGTATTGTACCCGCAATAGACTACTATTTCAAGACACACGCGCATAGTGTAGGCCCACATATCGAAAATCCTCGGGGAGGTGATCTTGTTTTCGCCGTTATGTTTTGGGGGGGGACACATGTAGAAGAGATCCCCCGTAAAGCTTAGGCGTTCTCACTGAGGCGGGGACATACACTGGAGATTCCCGGCATATATGCGAAAGCGTTTTGCTGAGGCTGTTGTGTCTCTCTGCCTGTGTGTGTATGTTGTTTGCGTCGACACGCTGCTAACCGGCCGGTCAATGAATTGACGTCAAAGACTCAGCGCGGTAGCAAACAGAAAATGCATCTGAATGCCACCACCTGGGACCCCGAGAGGGGGCGTCATGGGGGAGACTAAGTTGTTTTTCTTCGGATAAAAGACAGAAACGGTAGAACCAGAGGATCATCTGGGCCTGGAGACCGCCGAGAGGTGACCGACACCCCACAACCCCCTAGGGTTGTATTCGGAAGGTTCTCATGCATACCCCGATACACCTTCTGGAGCAGCCTCTAGCCCACATGTCGCCCGTTGAGCTGAAGGTGGCCAGAGAAATAGGCTTTGCTTGCTTAGCGCTAGTATGCGCGCGCACCATATCGGAAACCCTGTAGGCGTGGAGGAGTATCGTGGCGCAATAAGGTATTTCATATCCATTTCTACCTAGAGACAAACAAGTTCCCAAAACACTTTTCGCTACAGCACCTGCCTGTCAACCTGGGCTTTTTTACGAGGTTGAACCACTAAACCACCGGGGCGACCGGCGTCATGCGCTAAAAAGAAACGCGCAAGGTGGTCTGAGCGGATTTGATTGAGTTGAGATTTCGTATTCTCCCATATTACCCTTTGATCACACCAAGATATAAGGACAGTCTTTACACGTCCTTCTGTAGATTTCATCTCGAGGTCGCCTGGAAAACACCGTCTTGACTGACGCCAACGGCGAACACTTGAATCTGCTCGCATTACAGAATGCGGTAGCCACGCAGAATACATGTAGATCAAGTTCCCTCGTGGCGTATCTTCATCGCCATGGTTCAACCACATAGATGCCGTAACCTACACATTTCTTCTAGGCAACAATGGAGGTCAGGTTCGAAGAGGCCGAAGCACGCATTCTAAACACCGAAATGTACATACTCACGGGGACAGACTTGCCCGTGTAGATAGAGCCAAGGAAACTGCTTACTTAGACAACATGCGACTTGAATTTGCACGTTCCCCGCGGACGACCATACTCTATGGCAGCTCTTGCATCGGAACTGAACCTTAAGCCATCCATGCAAATCTCCTGAGACCACTAGAAATGCCGAGAAGGATTTGGGGGGTCCATGACATCGGCCTGTCGTTTGGCCTCCAAAAGGCCTCTGTGGTGGGAGTTCCGCGAAAACGAGAAGGCATGCAGAATATACGCAGGCGTCAGGGTAAGCAGAAAGGACGTTGGTCAAAGTTCCACACCGAGGGACAAAGAATGTTGGTTGGATAAACGTCACACTTCAACTGAACCATACCCGTGTGCGGGGTCGAACAGCAATCTCAAACGCGAGTCCAACAATTGCTCGAAAACATGGGTGACCTCTGAACGGATGATAAGTTTTGAAGAATACTTCATACTCTGTCTTTAGAAGGGAACGAAAGGCCATGGGGACGGTGTTCAAAACAACGTCTTCGTAGACCGCAAGATTGCGAGACAAGCGGGTATCGTGTGCCGAGTGATGCCTGTCCACTGAATTAGATCACAAGCAGCACGTGCCTTCAAGCACAGAGAACAGATGCAACAAACAGCAGGTGGCTCGGCATACTAACCCTCTGGAAATTACAAAGCACTTCCCCTGTTGCTATGTACACGGAGCAGAAAGACACTATGACATCCAAGTGCTGTATTTGTCACCTTACGAGACGAACAACTTCATCAACGTTTGGTTCATACGCGCTTGCGCATTCCGTCCGACGTTCCTTGGTCCCCGGGTGCCTCGCGTACACGTGCTGTAGCTGCCGTGTTGGTGGGAGGGGGAGAGATGCGAGGTGAGCATGCTTCTGGTAATATTTTGTTTCGGATCATCGGGTCCAAATACCCAAGTATCCTTGAATGCACGTTCCATGTGCAGTTCATGGATACAGCGTGCCTCGTGTGGAATTGTTGTTTCTTTTATACTCACCCTTGGAGTGTGAATGGTCGGCTCTGTTTTCTCTTTCCGGTGGACTTCTTCCCCTGCACGAGTACTGTCGCTATGCTTGACATTCGCTGTCTTCACCAAATATATGTGGCTGGGTGGTTCGCAAACATCCTTTAATGTTCTCGGCGTTGGCCAATGCAGCAGCACCAGAAGCAACGATGTAACAACATCTACAACAACAGCGAGGTGAAAAAGGCTTCCTTCGGCGCCATGCTCACGGTATTGTGATAGCTTCAAATCAAGTGTTGTCAGCAGACTGCATGTACCGAGGACCCAATTCAAGCCAACGATACAAACGTGAAGGGGGAAGTTGGACCACACGAGGTCCCCCTAGCTTGTGAAAAGTTGGACAATGCTTCCCACAGCGACGCTCGCTGATCACCTTCAGAGCCAGGTGAAGGTAGCAAGCTGAGCAGTCTGGCGACCCTATTTCCAGGACCGGTGTGTGAAGAGGCGAAACTACCATGTTGGACAAGCCCGCCCCGTGGGGAGCCACGATGACAGAAGCTGTAGCGAACAGCCGCATCTGCCGAATGATGGGGCCGTTTCCCCAAAACTCAACAATGTCGTGGTCGGGGAAGTCTTGCTTTAAAGCGTCGCGGACCTTCGCATGCATGGGTTGTGCAGGAACGAGTTGGGAGCAAAGTATTTTGTTCAATCCCGCTGAAGGCATCCGATGGCCTTCTTCCTGGCTTGGCGACGGAATATTAGCACATACCCTCTCTCGCAGCTAGAACAACGGCGGGCGACTGGGTCACTCTCATCGTTCAATACAGCAGAAAGCACTCACTCACATATTTTCCTATCTGATCATGTGCGTCGTGGGAGCTCGTGGAAGTGCTCTCATGGGTAACCATTGATGGGTAGGCCACAAATCTTACGCTGCTTTGGAAGATAGTGGATGACCCGTTATATGCGTCATGGTGTGGGTAAACGACTCGTGAAATGATGTGGTACCTCTACGCCACTGGTTGCTCATGCTCCTCGGCTATCACGGTGAACCAGATCGTGGCGCAAAAACTCCCTCAATACTGCGGGTATGTTGGTGTTCTTCGATTTCTGCAACCTGGAGTCTGAGGTTCTGAGTGCTACCAATGCTTCTTGTGCGGTCGCAACATGGAGATGCATGTGCACACATGTTGGCTATGTTGTTTGATTGTGTTTTGATGCGGTGGTGCGAGATGTTCATGCATGGCCAGATGTACTTAAGGATCGATGACAGCGGAACGGCGTACGGGGGATGTCGAACAGCAAAGAGGTCAAATTCCATTCGTGAACGGGACATTATTGTTTTCGCCAGTAGTTACAAGCCTTCGTGTTAGATTTATGCACCCCGTCCTAAGGTTTGCTGTACCACAGATTTCTCCACAGAGGGGAATTGCCCAACCTGGGCCAGGGTGCACGATAATGACTTTTCGCCGTACAACATATGTGTCCCCCCAAGCTTGATTCCGCAACTGCTACATATCGCTATGATGTTCGAAGTTGGTTCGCGATTCGACCTGGAGCTTGACGGTTTTGTCACCTCAGAAAAAACGCACCACACGCCCGTCGACCGACGGGAGTTCAGTGGGAAATAGTCTTCTTGATTCTCCCTCTTTTTTTGTCACCGTGTTGTTCACGTTAGAAAAGAAGGTACATGTAACCGTGGGCGAGTGACCAAATCAAATGTGCGGGCAAGTCCGGCACACTGGCACACCGGCGCACCTGGTCGTTGTTCTTGAGCCACCTCCTGGATTCGCGCACCACTAGCACGATTACTGGACGCGGAACCTCAGGAGGAATCCCTTGCGTTCTGGGGTACATCGCCTGCGACCCGAGGGAGAACCAAAGACAGCAAAGAAAAGATGGCTGGGGTGGCGAGATCAACATTGTGATAACGGGGGAGCGGCTATGACTCGCATCGCATGCTGAGGAGAGAACATCCTCTGCAGCTGCAAGCGATGGTGTGAAGACCTCGTGAGAACCAGGAGCGCCCCGCATCCGCCCACCAATCCCAATGCTGGGCATTGTTTGAGACGTGGTCCGTGGACACGTACATGGACACGTACATCATGGGCGCTCACTAGCATGTCCACGGACGCCCGCGTTCATGAACACTTCTACGGACCTCAAGGGGCCTATCTATACAAGCGGTTCCCTACCGGACATGTTGTAATTTTATCCCGATCGGGTGCAACAAAGTCTCTTTGGTGATATCGGTCATCACCTTTTCGGAAGTATGAGTTTTACATGGTGTCGTGGTGTCTGAAGCGTTCTGATAACTCCGCCACAGCCTAGCGCTAAATATGCACGTCAACGTGGCATGTGTGCAACGCATGCAGACTCCAGGGGTACCAACCAGGCCGTAACCGTCTATGAGCCAAATCCTAATCCTTGTACCCCGACCGAATCAGCAACATTTGTGGTGACAAGAGACGTTAAGGACCCGGCTTGTTCTGCATTGTGGAGCTGTTTGGGGCATGTCCATGAACACGTCCATGGAGAAACTCATAAAGTGTCCATGGACAAAGTGCCCTTGAAAAAAAGAAATAATTGCGGCTCGCCTAACTTGAACCGCAATTCATGTCTTTCCCACCTTCAAGAGGACGGATCTCAGCATGTTGACCATTTGTGTGTCTGGCCTGCCGCACGGTATCGAACTTGGTAGAATCGCGAGATCTGCATGAATCTACAGCGGGAGTATCAACAACATTGAGGAAAAACGATTCAGACTCTTCTGTATGGAGGGCTGGATGACTTGCATGGCATACAACTGAGCTCCCTGACTCTAAGTGTTGAATGTGCTCGCGGCAACCAGTGCTGCAGAACCATGACAAAGGAAGTGCCGCTTGCTTGTTCGACGTCAGTCGCGTACGACTCGTTCCGTCTACAAACCCGACAATCCTACGACACGCGATGCCTCAAACCTAGATACCGTGGGCAGGACGATGCGGAACAGGTCCATCGGCGATCAAGGTTCAAGCAGTTGCACCTCTTCGGAGACACAGCAAACAAGGCCAGCTAGGCTCACCTCTGTCTGGATGAAAATAACTCGTTCGCTATCTATCCCGAGCAGCGCCAATAGCTCGTAAATAAACGTGGTGTGGCTCTCGCTGCCTAACTTGGGAGCATGCACTGCAACCTGATTTATCCAGAAATATATTTACGAGACGGCCACACGCATGGGGAATGGGAAGAGATTCAGCAAGCTTAGTACTGGCCAGACCAGATTTCCATACGTAAGTCTGGGTCAGCCCAAGTGAATAGACCACGGGTGTCCGGCACCAATGTGGTCAACGACATCTTTCTCGCAAAAGCATTATATGTACCACACTAGATAATAGTACCTTGATGTCGAGGTTTTCCACAAGGACGTCCAGCATGAGAGTGATCCGCGGCAGCGCTTCCACCAGGAAATGGTAATACTCGTCCCCCCAGTACTGCGCTATCACGACGACCTTCATGCATGCGAACATGACAAAGGGAGAATGGCACGCAAATGTCGAGAATCAGGGCTACCGACAGCATAGTCGAGACGAAGAAGGCACGATGCTTTCGGGGGAATTTATCCGGAGCAGAAGTGACGGTCAATCACGTTGTTGTGTTCCTCTTTCAAGCCTGCCCTGTCTTGTGTCAAACTCGATGGCATCAGCCGGAAAACCGATAAGGCATTTGCTGTCTGACCGAGGTTGAAGACACGATAGTTTGGTTGGTGAGAAAGTGGTTCCCATGCGAATAAATTCTTGCAAAAATCACAAACCTTCTCGTGTCTTTCGGCACTGGTCGGAAGAATAGAGCTTGCTCGCGGGCCGAACAAGTGAGACTTGCAGGACTTGGGCACAATATAGTCCTTCCGGAGGAGGTCGGAAACCGCGAGGCACAACAGACAGAGGCACCGCAAGGGAGGAGGAATTGAGTGCATCGCAAGGATCAATGCACAGCCAACTAAAAATTTCGATTAGCTCGACTGGCGAGATACGTTCCGTTGAACTCGTGGCCGAGTTATCGGCTACAAGATGGGGGGACTGAACGAACTTCCTCCGCGAGTATCTCGCCTTCTCGTTCCAGACGTAGCCTAGCTTGTTGATGAACACGTCCGCCATGCCCACCAGAGTTGGGATATTTTCGTACCCATCGCTCGCCGGCTTGGGCACCTCGACGGTTGCGTGGTACGTGCTCAAGAACCTTTCGGAAGAAACAATACGAAACCAGGAATGCGCGAACGGCGCAACCAATGGGCTACGCGTCTTCCGGCATGTATTCGGCGCTACACCCAGCTGATGTCACGCCAGTAAGATGCTGAACACGGCGCATCCCCAAAGGGTCTGGGCTGGCAACGTCGGCCCGGAACGAGTCCGGAAGGCGGATGGTGCTTACGGAGTGGCCGTTGCGCAGAGAGCCTCGAGCATAGGTATTGCAGGTTGCCAAAATGAGAAACAAGGTGTCCTTCACAAACTGCGATTGCTCATTGTTTTGCTTGGTGCCATTCCCCTACTCTAACACCCTGCGTAGTGAAATGTCATGTCTTGTGTTTTTTGGACCGGTCGGCATAGATTGTCGTGTTGGTACGTGAGGGCGCCATGAGGCAGCTGCCAGAGGGGCAGCAGTGGCATGTGCAGTATTTTGCGCGTGCCAGGTACGCAAGAAGACATCTGTTCCAACATGGCCCTCCGGCGGGTTTGGGCAGCACGAAAGTAGACACGGTGATTTCTAGAGGGTTCAAGGGTCTTTTTTGAGGGGCTTTGAGGAGTTTGAAGCATGATACGACTCCATTCGACCCTCCTAGCATCTCGAGCAGGACACCTCGTGAGCCTGTCGTACAAGCTGACAAACGCTACGCAGATTTTTTTTATGCGAATGTGCAGAGCACGGTACGAACGAGGATGCGCCCTCTCGTTTGAACTTCCTCGAGGCTATCTAGCAGCAGAACGTGGTGAAGTGTTTTGCCTCAATCGACTTGACCAATTCAACGCCAGATCTTGCAGCCGTTCTCTCACCTAGCCACCTCCGAATCCCCATTCGCCACGGCTTGAAAGAACAGCCAATCCTTGTCGACCTCGACCAGGTAATGTTCTTCAATCATCTGCCTGTTAAATCAGCGCCACATGACATTCAGCAGGAGACACTTTACATACAACTGCTGCTGCCGCTACCGAATCAAAGTGGCCCCTTGGCAGCTTCGGTCTCCCGTGCGGCCTTGCCCTGCTCCACAAAAGCTTCCCGCAACCTTTTCTCAAGGGTAATCTCGAACAAACAACAGCATTTTACCCGGCGCGCAAGCCTTCAACGTGAACCGATCTTGTGTAGTTCGAGACTATGCGCGCTATTCAAACACGTAACTCAGGCTGTGTAGAATCACCTTGTTCAGGCGGGTCATAGAGCCAGGGAGGGCTAATATTAACTTAGATCTCCCATCAAGAGAAGTGCCGCCGAAAAAATGTACGCGGAACCCACGAAAGCGAATACTTGGGCGCATATAATACAGGTTGTGATGTCGAATCTGCACATCTGCACCGTTTGACGCTCTTATTGGCGTTGCTACTGCTCCTGCTGTTGCTGCTGTTGCTTGTAGGCGATCTGTGGACGTGCACTTTTGATGCTGACGCACAAAACCCGATCGTACGATGCAAGCATAGCGACATTATGTTAATATGTTAATATCTATTTTCCAAACAGCCTTCTCCACATACTTGGGTGCGTTATCCATCCGATCACACCACCAGCGGCATACGAGCATCAGTAGGCCGATAAACGCATAAGAAAATGTGTCGGAGATGCCATGTTTCTCTGGGGTCGCCCAACGCGACTTATCGGAAATCCGTGGGTCCAGTCTACTCGTTCCGCCAATGTCTACGGCAACCGTTGGCGCCGCACACAAGAGAAACGTACTGAGCAATTGAAGTATAGTGAAGAGCACGGGTTGCACTTGATGGATGTTAAGCTAAAGTCCCGGAATAGACACCTCGGGGATCCTTCAACCGTTGCCCCGGCGCTCTTGTCCCCAGCATAAGAACAAGTGCTATACTCTACGTCGCCCCCGGGGCGATAACCGCATGTGTCCTGTTCCTCATTGATCATTAAGTTGTTTTTTGCCGGGTTTGAATCGTATGTGCTGTGTATCACTGCCAGGATTGGGAGTGCGCTCACGCCGTAGACTACACGTGGAGACCAACACCAGCTTCAGTCGGATGAAACGAAAAACGATAGAACCAAAACGACGGTACGTTCTTATGTTTCGAAACCTGTGTGGTATAAGATCGTCGTTCATTGTTTTGCTCACGGTCGATCGCCGCTTCAGGCGGTGTCTCTCACGCAAAATGTGCGAAAGAGTCGCTTTCTGGCCATTTTTCTGGGAAGTGCAAAAGTAAAAATGAAGGCGTCTAAATGGCAGTGCGTGATTTGTTCGATATTTCTGAGTTTCCATTAATTTCATCTTGGGGGAATCACCGTTCGATCGGCGTTCACCCCGTGCTTCACAGCATGTCCAACGACGAGGACGACGATTTCATTTGCGCCACTTTTCGGGAAAACAGTACAGTTCCATACCTGGTCGGAAATAGGGAGCTCCTGAAAATCGCGAAGTACGACTGGAACGCCTTGACAAAGTCTAAAGTGTTGACTGGTCCCAGCATGGCTGGGGCCTTGGCGAGATCTGGTCTCCTGACCACCACCGCCCCCTTGATGCGCGACATCTCTTCGCCTAGATCTGCCCAGGCTGCATGCATGTGCTTTCCCTACCATCATGATACATGCCAAGAACGTCACCACAGAGATTAGGCGTGCCAATAAAACGTACTCATACTCGCCATCACCAGGCGAGGTTGCCTTGCGATTGTCATGGATTCGGGGAGCAAGGTGCGAAAGACTTACATGATCATGCCGTCAACATGCTAAGAACCCTAGACTAGCACAACGACATACATTGCTGCAGGGAGGATGCGCGCATTGAGCTCGCGGTGTCGCCTCCAGCAGCTTGGACCACACGGCATCGGCCCCGACAAGAGGTATTCCGAAGGTGAAGCCGGCATTATCTCCGGAGACCCACAGAGGCACAGCAAGACCACTTCGATCGCTGGCATCGACAGCTGTGAGTGTCCCAGATATCGACCTGAGCCGCAGGTGCTCCAGAATGGGGCGCTCTTCGAAGTAGCTCAAGTGATGGATTACTCCAATAGAACGGTCTATGTTAAAGGAGAAAAAGTGCTTTATTTTGTTTTCTTTCGAATTGCTTCATTATTTCTTCGGTTTCTAGGCTACGTGTTGGGGAGAGAGACGCACGAAACGCTCATCGTCTCTCCGGCCGCGTTAGCTGCAAAGGCCGGCGTCAACTCTTACAAATCCATCTCTCTCCCCACAAATACTAGCCGGGGGACTACGACTGCAAACGCAGGAGTCCCAAAACTGACCAAGTCCTCAAATGGTACACACCATTCTACAACACCTGACTAGATACCGAATATTCCCGAACTTATGCCCCCACCTTCGAAAGAAAAGGGATGGGAGGGCGGGATTTTCTAAACTGCCGCCGCTACTGCGTTAGGCGGCTGCTGCTGTCCTTCCGTTGCTTCACGCGCTCTGTAGCTGTCACACGTTACCCGACTTTGCTACAGCCCCTGCGTGGACTCGATCACGGAATGACACCCCCAACTATAGACTAATAATTCCAAACACCGTGACCCTGGGTTTCCGGGTAGAAAATGAAGCCAAAATTCTAATTCGACTGTTACAAAATAAACACCAGTTTATTCTATCTGCTTCGACGAACAAACCTTCCTTTTATTTTGTTTTCTTTCGAATTGCTTCATTATTTCTTCGGTTTCTAGGCTACGTGTTGGGGAGAGAGACGCACGAAACGCTCATCGTCTCTCCGGCCGCGTTAGCTGCAAAGGCCGGCGTCAACTCTTACAAATCCATCTCTCTCCCCACAAATACTAGCCGGGGGACTACGACTGCAAACGCAGGAGTCCCAAAACTGACCAAGTCCTCAAATGGTACACACCATTCTACAACACCCACATCGAGGTCAGTTTCTGGACGACTACCGAATAAGTCAACTATCCGTTCCCCCAGACGGTCCCCTCCCCCGGCTGTCTCGATACGATCCTACTGCCGTCTGTAAGTTTCCGTGACACTCGCCGCGAATCCTCTACATTGTTTCGCGCGTACGGCTTGTATGCATCCGACCTCCACTTCCCTTCTCTCTGAATCACTCGTTCTGCGATGTCTCCGCCCGATGCAAGAGCCGTCGCGCCTCCAATTCGCAACGAGTGCAACGCGTACTCCTGGGGGTTACGCCCCGACCTCGCTACCACTTCTCTGAGTGCACGGAGGGCAGCAGTATACCTCACTACTCTCAACTGCTCTTCCACTACGGTACGAAGCCAACGGTGCGGAGTCAGGGAACGTCGCATGACACGATAACAGCTCCACCACAAGAGCCACCGCGCCACCGCGTGCTCTCACACCTGACTGCGGTCCGGTGACTTCGTCTCGCGTACGAACCCGTATGTTTCCTTTCTGCTCTTGATCGGCCTTGTGCCCTCTAAACCTCATTTCGACACGGTCTGCTCTACGATAGTGACTAAAGACTAATTGCGTCTCGCCAGCAAACAATGCTACGTCCGCCCTCGTAAGACAGTGTGCCTCATGCACCCTGCCCGCATCATTCGCGAACACCTCATCAGACCGTGTGATAAAGAGATAGGACAAGCACAGACACAGCCACATCACTCTGCCCCCTTCCCCCCAGTTCTGGCTTGCGCTTTCCCCGTCCAGCAGCATACGCCAAGACACAGGCAGGCGCACACGGCGTACCGTCCCCACAGCCACGTGGTTCCTCGCAATCCCCCTTAGCGCACATTTCAACATCGGAGACGACAAGTCTAGCTCGACAGAAGCTTCCAGCCTATGAAAATGTTGTACAGCCGTGAGTTTTCCGGATATTGTACTCGCTAGATTACCCTCAGACTCGAAACACCAGGCTACGAAGTCTATCAACTCCCACACATGAAGGTCCCCGGCACGTTGCCCTAGGAACTTGGGCTTCTCCGTCAGCCTGCGAAACGTGCACCAAGAGTTGAAGCCTGACGTGTAAGTCCTTCTAGACGAAGACGCAACTGAGTGCTCGACGAGCTGCATGCCAAGACGTCGGTAACAAAGTCCCGTCCTGCCTGTCCCAGGTCCTGAACCTGCTGATAGCCCTGGAGCCAACCTCGTGTAGACCGGCGTGCTGCCGTTCGATTTAGCCGCAGGTGCGCTGCCATCCGAGGTAGGCCCCCCCGCTACGCGGGAGAGCCCGCACCCCTATTTGTCTTTCCCGTGGGTGAAGAAGCCAGCGGCCTTGGGTCTCGCGCCGCCCTCGCCAGCGGCGCGCGCCTCTCCTCCGCGCCCTCCCCCGTTGCCGTGGCCAACGCCGCGCGCGCCGGTTGCCGGAGTTTCGGACGCTCCGCGCCTAGCGTGGGAAGGGTTCTGGGCGTGGATGTGTGGGCAGTTACGATCATGGCAACCGGACGACGAGTTGAAGGCGAAGCAGTAACCACGAGCGTGTCGAGCGATGCCGCCACTTTCTCTGTCACCAGGACGCCTTTGCGAAGCAAGGATTGCCACTCCATCTGCGACAGTTTTGAAACTGCCGGGGGCCGCCCCAGGATGAGCCACGCTTTTACCCGGCGGAGGTCCCCCCACATCCGCGCTCTATCCTTTGCCGTAGCCTTAGCCGCCTCGGCGCTGGGTGTAGCGGGGGCCCGAGAGGCCGATGGTGGGGCGGTTGTGCCCACAAGTTGCACCCCCCCCCGGAAGGCCAGGTCCTGCTGCTTGGGTGGCGATCAGGTCGTCGATCGTTGCTTGAAGCTGCTGGCGATCACCGGCAGCCTCATCGCGCTTCCGCTGCAGCTCCTCCCTCAGGCCGTCCACCAGCCCGCGGAGAGAAGCGAGCTCAGTCTCATCAGCGGGGGGGTCGCCGCGGGTGCCTGTCCCTGGCGCTCGCGAGGAGGATACCGCTCGACGCCTCGCGGGAGTACGTGATCCGCTGCGCGTCGAGGGGCGAGCCGTCGAGCTCGCCACCGATCGCGCGGTAGACCTCTCGTGCGTGGTGTCGAAGGTGTCGCCGCCCGACCTCGCCCTGCTTGCCCAGCCGCTGCCCTGCCGCTCCGCGTGGAGGCCCGTGTCGGCATCTGGTCGCGGTTGGAGTCGTATAAGCAGCGGACCGGCGGCAGGCGGCGGGCGAGCGTCAGGGCGGCGTTGCGGGAACACTTCTTTTCCTCTTCATCGTGGGCGTAGTCGATCGCGCGCCTGGATCTGCAGTTAGAATGGTCTACAAATCCTATCTTCGGGCGAAACTATCTGACGTGGGTTTTCGTCGGGCCCAGAACGACGCGTTGTTATATCGCGAGCTCGCGTTAGTTCATTCTCGACGCCTGTGGATTGAATGGAGTGATTATTGCTGCTGACGCTACGGTCACCGGACGTCGACCAATCCCGAATATTTCTCTCTTTGGAACACTAGCGATGGTTTCTCTTTTTTTTTTTTTATATATATATTTTCTTGGATTCGGTGAACCCCGGTTCGCCATCGGCACGGGTGCTTCCACTCATTGGCGCGTCCCGTGCTGATACGTGTTTTTTTTTTTTTTTCGATGCGTTGGATACGGTGAACTCCACTTGCCAACAGCGCGGGTGCTTCCACTCATTGGCGCGTCCCTCGCTGAAACTGACAACACATATGCAGCACGGGTGCTTCCACTCATTGGCGCGACCCGCACTGATGATACTTGTACGCAGCGCGGGTGCTTCCACTCATTGGCGCGTCCCTTGCTGAAACTGACAACACATATGAGCACGGGTGCTTCCACTCATTGGCGCGTCCCGTACTGATACGTGTATGACTTCGTTTTCGATGCGTGGAGATCGGTTAATTCTACTCGCCCAACAGCACGGGTGCGCCCACTCATTGGCGCGTCCCGTACTGATACGTGTACGGCGTTTTTGTTCTTTCTTTTTGAGATCGGTTAACTCTACTCGCCAACAGCACTCATTGGCGCGTCCCTTGCTGAAACTGACAACACATATGCAGCACGGGTGCTTCCACTCATTGGCGCGTCCCGTACTGATACGTGTACGACTTCGTTTTCGATGCGTTGAATTCGGTTAACTCTACTCGCCAACAGCACGGGTGCGTCCACTCATTGGCGCGTCCCGTGCTAATACGTGTACGGCGTTTTGTTCTTTCTTTTTGAGATCGGTTAACTCTACTCGCCAACAGCACGAGTGCTTCCACTCGTTGGCGCGTCCCGTGCTGAGGCTGACAACACATATACAGCACGGGTGCTTCCACTCATTGGCGCGTCCCGTACTGATGCATGATTTGTGGTATTTCCTACCGCTGCGTTGAATTCGGTTAACTCTACTCGCCAACAGCGCGGGTGCTTCCACTCATTGGTGCGTCCCGTGCTGATACGTGTACGGCGTTTTGTTCTTTCTTTTTGAGATCGGTTAACTCTACTCGCCAACAGCACGAGTGCTTCCACTCGTTGGCGCGTCCCGTGCTGAGGCTGACAACACATATGCAGCACGGGTGCTTCCACTCATTGGCGCGTCCCGTACTGATGCATGATTTGTGGTATTTCCTACCGCTGCGTTGAATTCGGTTAACTCTACTCGCCAACAGCGCGGGTGCTTCCACTCATTGGCGCGT